CAGTGCTTGGATGGGAGACCACCAAGGAAGACCAGGGTCATAACACAGAGGCAGACAATGACAAATCTCTGAATGTCTTTTGACTGGAAAACCCTACGGTGTCTCCATAGGTCAGCTGCAACTTGACAACACTTTCTACCACCACCAGTGTCTGGGTTGTAACTTCAAAGTGAAAATAACTTCAATGTGAAAAGTATACAAGAAAAGGATTGAATTAAAGTGGAAAGGCCCTAATTCTGCATAACAACTATTAAGATTGCAGACATTTGTTTGGAATGGAAACTTCCAGGGCTATTTTTGGGCAGGAACGCACAGGAACGGAGTTCCGGCTGGCTCCCGAGCTGGCCACGCCCAGCAGGAACTCATTAGCATAATAGGCCACACCCAACAGCAGGAACTCATTAGGATTGGCTACATTAGGGGTGTGTGGCCTAACATGCAAAGGAGTTCCTGCTACAAAAAAGCCCTGGGTTTTGACAACAAGGTAAACAGAATGACAAGCAAAAGGTGGGTGTGGCTGGATAACCACACTTCTGGTAACATACCCTAATGTGCTAATGAGCTGTGCTGTCAGGGGTGTGGCCCAATATGCTGAGTTCCTGCTGTTGGGTGTGGCCTATTATGCTAATGAGTTCCTGCTGGACTTTTTCTACAAAAAGAGCCCTGGAAACTTAATTGACTTTATGACACTTACCATAAATAGTGACTTGATGTCTCAGTGTAATTTTTTTTAAAAAATTGAGCCGGGGAAAAAATCTGCTTCCCCACTCACTTACCTTTCCCTGATCTGGTGACAAGGAAAGGAAGTAGCACCTCTCCCTCCTTCTCAGCCTACTCCTTGCCAGGAGCCCTGGTAAATGTGGATTTTTCAAGGTGTCTGATAGATGTGCTCCTGACATCTGGGTTGCTGTTATAGAAGCATTCGAGACATAGGAATGGAAAGGACTAGGCCTCCATGAACTACAACAACAGCTGGAGAAGCAGCCAAGATAAGGGGGTTTGGAGGACAGCTTTTAGGGAACCATGAAATATTTTAGTGAGTAGGGAGTCTGACACTGTCATATCCCTGATGATGTCACATTTTGTTTGTAACTGGCCCATAATAAACCAAACTGTGTTTTAGAAGGACGAAATTGCGGGGGTGTAACTCAGCTTACAAAGCACACAAATCAAATAGTGACGGCAGCTGTGTGTCCATCACTACTTATGACATGTAGGAAATAGTCAAATGTCTTAAAAGTTAGGTTAAGCAGCATGCAGAAACTGTTGTCCAGTATGAATCAGTCTCATTGTGATTTAATCCATGTAATTGGAAGATTTCTCAACTTTAGACCCCAGTAGTAGACAGAATTGTAAAACAGCCTCCTGTACCTTGTAACTGTCTTATAGATAAAGCCCAAACATATCCTTGAGTAGCTGTCAGGGAACTGTACATTCCTTGCAATATCTGCAATCAGTATAATTATCCAAGGGGGAGGAAGGTCTTGGAACAAGAAAATACATGTCATTTGTGGGTTAAAAGTTAAACCTATCATTCTAGGGCTATTTTGTAAATATGAATATATAGGGTTGCTAAATTCACTGAAGTATTAAATTTTCTGGCAGTTCAGGGCAAGAAAATTTAAATTTCCAGAGACCACTTGGCCCTGCTGATATATAGTTGCTTCCCCCTCGAGGTCCCCCCCCCCCCCCCCCCCGGCAAGAATTGCTGGCTGTTCCTTTCCTCCTCTTTGTGGTAAACGTGATTGAATAATAAAAAATAATGCATATTTAGAATGTTCATATCCCATTGCTTGTCCCAATGACAATTTAATTGGACACGTTTGATTTCTGTTTAGAAAGATTATACTTTAAGTATGGAACTATATGGAGTGGATAGTTCAGTCTGGAATTTAAATGGGTCAAACCCTTAAGCCCTGCTGATATATAGTTGCTTCCCTCATTGATTTCAATGATACTTCTCTGTGGAGCCCCAAGCAAACTCCATTTAAATGAATCCAGATAGTGTGGTAGCATTTTAAAATTTATTTAGAGGCCTTATTAAGCACGTTTTCAAAAAATGCTCAAAGCAGTTTGGAGGCCAGCAGCATCAGAATGAAAAACCACAAACAATGTAAAATAAAACAAAATTATAAGCAACTAAGGAAAAACAAAGAAACCGATACTTTAAAAACAGTAAAGTACCAAAAGCCCCCCCCACAAAATTACAACCAGTAAGATAAAAAATATAATAAAGAAATCCCCTACGAAGTAGTGAATAAAACTTTCCGACATGAAGATGGGGGCACTCATCTTAACTGGTGGGCAAATTCACGGGAGTTAGCAGTCCTTCAGATATCCTTCCTGACCTCAGGGATGCATGGCAGAGCACATGCTTTTCATGCAGAAAATTCCCATTTAAACCCTAGGCATCCCTAGTTAGCTGATCTCAGATAGCAAGTGTTGAGAAAGATTTACTCTGTCTGAGACTTGAGAGTTTCTGTTAATTAAATAGTACTGTGCTAGATGAAGCAGTGGCTTGACTCAGTATAAGGCAGCTTCAGGTATCCAGCTATATGTGTTCAGACTATTTAGAGCTTTAAAGCTTTAAATACCAGCACTTTGAATTGTGTCCAGAAATAAATTGGCAACCAGTGGAGTTTTTAAAGAACTGCCAGGATACATTCTTGCTAACCCACATCATTCAGTATCCTTGTTTAGTAAGCTATGCTAAATTTATGCTAGAGAGTTGGCAAATGTGACAGTAATTCATAGTGAGGCATACTGAGACAAATGCAGAAGGACATTATTAATAGCATGCATGGTTTGCCCTTCCCTATTTTATCCTCACAGCAACCCTGTGTGGTGGGTGAAGCTGAGGGAAAGACTGGCCTAAGATCACTCAGCGAGCTTCATGGCAAAGTGGAGATTTGAAACTGGGTATCCCAGATCCTAGTCTGACAAAGCAATATATTATGATGTCAGAGTCCAGTAGCACCTTAAAGACTAACAAAACTTGTGGTACGGTATGAGCTTTCGTGAGTCATTGCACACTAAGAAGTGAGCAGCAACTCATGAAAGCTCATTCTCTGCCACAAATTTCATTAGTCTTTAAGATGCTACTGGACTCTTGCTCTTTTCTACTGCTACAGACAGACTTAACATGGCACTGTCACCAGTTCTGTTTATAAGCCTATATTCAGAATATTTGCACATCCCTGATTTTTTAAGTGCTTTGCTTGAATGTCTGGTACTTGGATGGTTTTGAAATTGGCATATGAGACTATGTAGTACTCAGTGTTTACCTGCCTGCTTCTGGTGAACTCAGTTGTGTGCAGCAGTATAGGGGCTTCCACAGGACTACATGTTCCTATCAGAATTGAAAGGGCACCATTGGTCAGTTAAGTGGAGACCAATATATCACAAAGCCAATGGGTAACTAGATGTATACCTGCATCCCTTTCTGCTTCCTTCCAACTTCAAATCTCATCTTCTTGACCAGAGACAATGAGACTGCATCATGCAGCACATACAGTGCAGTCCTAAGCAAGTCTACTCAGTGTTCTACTGAAGGGTACTTGATAGGACTTAGTCCCAGGAAAGTGTTCATGGTTTTGCCTTCGTAATATGCTTGTTTGTATTAACTTCATAAGGAACTGAAACTAAACAGTGCACAAAGTGTGAGTGCACATGAAAGCTCATACCTTGAATAAACTTAGGTTGGTCTTAAAGGTGCCGCTGGACTCAAAATTTGTTCAACTGTAGTACATTTAAGTGAACTGCAAAGGCTGTCGTGATTTATTTTTTATTTTTTTACTTAAAACTCTCACAAAACTCTAGCAAAGGCAAAGTCTGCCAACTCATCTGAGAGACTGTTCAGTAGTGCTGGGGCAACTGCCAAAAAACACCCCCATGTTGGACAGCAGTGAGGTGAACCAATAAATGCTGCTGTGTTGGCTGCATGTGTTCATAAAGGGAGAGGGGGTCCTTCAGGTCCTTTTTGATCCTTCCACCCTTTTCCCTTAGTTGTGCTTTTTAGACCTTCTGTTGCACAGCTCTACAAGCAAAATTACGATATTCTTTCAGCAGCACCGTTTACAGGTACATCGACATGACATTGTCTTCTGATTGTTCTGGTTCTGTGTTTTCTCCCACACTGCAGTAGTAGTTCCCAAACCTGGTTTGATACAATATTTTTGGAAAGATTATAACCAAAGTGCCTTTCAGTGTAATGTGGATGGAAAGCTGCACCTTTTTTTCAAGTCCTACCTTCCCTGGCACAATTTTGCTTTCCTCAGTCCCAGTAGCGGCCATTTCCCCCCTCCACCGGGACCTCTAGTCCTTTTAATTGTGGCGTTATAAGGGGAAATATGCTGGCTGCACTTTCTCATAACCCTGCTACAAAACATGCTAGCAATTTAAAACAAAAATAAAAGCTGGGAACCAGTACATTGTTATAATACAATAGTGCTATAGCTGTTGCTGGGGTTTTTTTTAAGTCTGAAAAAAACAACAACTGTGGATGGCAGGAGGATAATGGCAGCCATGGAGGGCTCAGGCAAAGGAGGGGAAAAAGTTATGTGTGGATGCTCCACTGCTACTGCAAATGCACAAATGCCTGAGCATTCACAGCAACAACGAGAGCTGTGCCAAGAACCATCTCTGTGTAGCAGCACAAGTATTACAAACTATTTCAAAAAGGAAAACACCCTGCCTGGGACATAGATTTCTCTCTATTCAAAAAGTAAACATATCTCGATAGTAGTGGTTGCATTAAAATTCCATAAAATAAAACATTTACATGGAAATCTAATTATTTTCTCTGCTATAACTGGGAAAATAGAGGCTATCCATATCTGAACAATGATCTTGCATTTTTAAAATTCGCAGTACACATGGACATTAATTACTGATGTTCGTAGCTTTCTATAACATGTAGCCTCAAGGATGTTAGCTCTTATATTGAACATGTCCTTTTTTGGTTTTGTCATAATTAACTTCTTTAAAATGCATATTTCTAGAGGCCCAGCAAGAGCAAGGACTATGGCATATTTTGGAGAAGGAAAAGGCCCGATCCATGTTGATAATGTGAAATGCACAGGAAATGAAAGATCCTTGTCTGACTGCATTAAACAGGATATTGGCAGACACAATTGCCGTCATAGTGAAGATGCTGGGGTGATCTGTGACTATCTTAACAAGAAGGCATCTGGGAACAGTAATAAAGGTGGGTATAAAGTTCAATATTACTACTTTTTCTGGAAAAAGGGAGTACATATATTGATAAATATACATGGGGGGAAAGCACAAATTAAAATAAAATGGATAGAAGTGGAGGTTGTCAGCAATAACACACAAGCTAGTGCTGGGCCCACTTCCTTGTGTCTATAAGCACTCCATACTGTTTCCTGTTGGAGAACTTAATCTCTGTGATTTCCTTTCTGATAGATTCTCTTGCTTCTGTATGTGGTTTGAGGTTACTGCATCGTCGCCAGAAACGTATCATTGGTGGGAAGAATTCTTTAAGGTAATTGATATTTACGTAAATTTTAAAAATAACAAACCTTACTGCCAGCAGAATGCTACTAAGAAGTATTGTTGCCGTTGGTATTAGGTTGACATACATAGACCTCATATGTTATGAGTTCTAGACTTCTCAGCCATGTTACTGATGAATATACTAGATATTGTACCAGCTGTTGACTTTGGATGTGAAAGACCTGCATTTGGATTGCTGTTCAGTTATGAAGGCTCTGTATGGCTTTAGGCAAGCCATTAACACCTCTGAGTTCCTTTGAAATACTCAGTTGATAAGAAAAAGAACAACAAAAGTAGGGTGATTTTAACATTTTAAAAGTATATTTTTACATGATTGCGGCTGCAGTTTTTGCCACCCTCTGTTGTACAATCTGGTTTTTCTAATTCCCAGGTATTTCTTTTTTTTGGCGGGGTATTTTGTGTGTGCGTGCTTGGAACCCTGAAGGTTGTGGTGACTTCTGGCGACTCCAAGTGGGGCTAGGACATTTCAGAGAAGCGGTTTGGTATTAACTGTCTCTGTATCCCGGCCCTGGTATTCCTTGGAGGGTCACTCTTCCAGGCTTGCCTGGGCTATCCAGGTCAGGGAAAACTGTTTCTGAACTATTATCATGATGATGAAATCTAGTCTACCATCGTATATTCCTGCTTTCCCCCCTCTTATTAGGGTTGGAGAAACTGGAAAACATCGAAATAACAATTTTTATGAGCAAGTGTCTCTTTTTGCATTTTTCTTCTGAATAGCCACTATTGACATCTATGCCCAGATTTAACCCAGTTCTACTATTGCATTATTATATGCAGTGGCCCTTATTTTATAGTCTTCCTTTCATATAATAAAAGCCCCCTACAAAATGTGGGATCAACTAAACATATAAATGTGCTTTGCTTTTATATAATGGTTAAATGAATAAGCTATAGCAGCCATTAAAGATACTTATATGGGTAGTTTATAAAACAAGCAGTTGGTGAAAATGATTATTACCTCAAAGTTTGATCAAGAAATTCTTTCCTTTCCTGCTGGTTCTATATTTGTATGGGAAAAGTTTAAAAGAATCTTTAGTGTCCTTACAGCCCCCGACTATGCATGTATATTTGGAACGAAGTCCTACATGGGTGAGAGTATATAGAAAATACTAAGATTTCCCATACAAATAAAAGATGGCGTTAGATGTATTTCATGCAGTGTCTGCCATTTTGGTTGACGTTGAGGTACAGGGGAAAAAAATAGAGCATGAACAGAAAAAGCAAAGGAAATTAGGACACATTGGTTATGGAATTATGTTAACCTTAGCAGTCATCGTTTATTTCGTATATTGTTTGTTTTTAGTATAAAGAATGTAACCTGAGAGGATGTAGTTAAACTGGTTGACTGAAGGAGGAAAAACTTGAGAAAGCTAGCTGGCTGAATGGTGTGTAACTTTAACCTTGAGAGTTGGTTAATGGAATTCTGAATGTTCTATCAATATGGCTGAACAGAAAAAAATCTTTAAGAAGGAAGCAAGAAAAAAAAAGCTTCCATCCATAGAATACAAGATAGTAGATAAAGTGCTACACTAAAGATAAAATAGCAGTTGCCATTTCACTGCCATTTTACAAGGTGTACTAAGATGAATTGTTGTAATTCCTTTTTCAGGGGCGGATGGCCCTGGCAAGTTGCTCTGCGACTGAAATCATCACATGGAGATGGAAGATTGCTATGTGGTGCCACTCTCATCAGCAGCTGCTGGGTGCTTACTGCAGCACATTGTTTTAAGAGGTACTAGTGCACAGCTGTTAGATGGTTATGTTGCCAGTGCTACTGCATTACTATAGAAATGAGAACAGTGCAAGGGAAATAAAAGTAATACTCCCAAAGCTAGTTAGTATTAGTACACTTGAAATTTTTAATTAAGTTCCTTTAATACTATATTTACATCACATGTATGTAACACATAACAATTCATATTTTTACACTTGAGACTTCCATTGTTAGCTTTCCTCACTGCAAATTTATAGCTTGAAATATTTCTACACAGCAGTATTTTTAAAAACAATCTTTAACACTTTGAACAGGTCAACTCACTAGAAAGGAAAAAAATCCACCCTTGTGAATTTTGTCACTGATGAATAAGATAAAGAATTTTAGAAGATCTTTTAAATGACACAATTAAAAATTAGTCTGTAGCCAGGTTGGATTCGAAAATCTGTCATTTTTGTGATAGAAAAACTGATTTATTTAAAAGGTATTATTTTAAATTTAACATTTAGTAGTTATGTATCTGTGTACAGTTAACTGAATACAAAGTGAAGAAATATTGTGGTCATTTGATCCAAACTTTAGTAGTATTTAATTGCAGTCAGTGTTTGTAACCCTTTATGCCATTTTTAACAGTTAACTTACCACAAAGCTTTTTCATGTGCCAAGGGCTTAATACATTATTTACCCAAAGTGAATAAAATATTTGTTAATGAACATAAGAAATATATAAACTCTGGTTGTGTGTAGAACCAATTCACACATTATCTAGCATTTAAAATTTCCTCCCATAGTGATAAATGGTCACTAACTATACTGAGTGAAGGGGAGAAATTAAAATCAAGTTTTTCTTGCTATTGAAAGACCCTGAAGTGGCACTGTGGGGAATACCATCATATCATAAAGTATCTTCCTTCATAACTGAATACAGGTATATGAATTACAAGAAGAAACTGAACTGCTTTTAGTAGCTAACTCTCTGATGGCACATTTGAAAAGGATAGATTTCATGAATAAGTGTTATAAACAAAATGCTATTCCCTGGAATGCACATTTCAGCTCCTGTTCCATAAATAAATTTGGTCTGATATAGTTAAATACCATTAAATTCTATTAAGTTAGTAACAGTATGTGGGCTTAAATAGTGGTGCTCTGCCTTTGTTTGTGAATTTGCAGCTAGTGTTTTTTTCTGTAGAATTGTACACTACATATTGCTTGAACATATTTAATCCATAAGATCAAAAAGCTTTCTGTGTATTTAAATGCACCAGCTTCCATTAGTTTATTGACAATAACCCAGAAATTGTTTCAGTTGCTCTCATTTGTATGCTTGGGAAGATTGGTCAGGTGTAAAAAAAAAGTACAGTCATCTTGTGCATCAGAAATATGGCATTTATGACTGTGTCTTGTTTGAAATGTTTTATAGCTAAGCTCAAACACTTTTTGGATGCTGGCTTCATCCATCTTGAGAAGAGAAGCCACAATACACATTTCAAGTAGGTGACAGCTGCACCTTCCTGTTCAGTTTTCTGTCTGCTGTATCAGGAGGAATTTTCTCCAGCTGATATTTTGCAATATATTTTCAGCCACATTAAGAAGAAGAAGAAGAAAAGATTGGATTTATACCCAGCCCTTCACTTGGAGTCTCAGAGCGGCTTACAAACTTCTTTTCCCTTCCCCTTCTCACAACAGACACCCTGTGAGGTGGGTGGGGCTGAGAGAACTCTGACACAAACTGCTCTTTTTCAGGGACAGCTGTGCCAGAGCTTGTGACTGACCCAAGGTCACATCAGCAGGTGCAAGTGGAGAAGTGGGGAATCAAACCCGGTTCTCCCAGATTAGAGTCTGCACACTTAACCACTACACCAAACTGAACTGGGGGAAGAGCCACAAAATCCACAAGTGCAACTCCCCATTTGTTGATTTGATATGGGATCCCCCAATCTGTTAAATTATATTTTTTATATACAAAAGCCCTAATGCGTTGGCACTTTCCAGCTCTCCCATTGGCTATGCTGTACACTCCATCAGCCTGGTCACTTCCCTGACAGAATAAACTGCCAAAACGGCTGTCTCTCCTTTTTTTTTTTTTGACTTGCCTAAATTGGGCAAAGTTTATTATTATTTTTTAACAATTTACATAGAAAAGAGCCATACATTTTAAAATAGCAAGCCGAATATCTCGCTCACATCATCATAGTTGCATACAGCTTCCCATTCCCTTCCCATTCCCCCCCCCTCGTTTTATTTTGTATTCAATAACATACACTATTAAACCAAGTATCTATTCCCTTAGTAAAACCAATTCATCAATATTCTATCTGCTATATTTCATTTTATCAGTACTATACTATTATTATTCTATTTTATGTCAATATAAAAACAACAGAAAAGAAACAGTCATAGCTTATCAGTTTAACTATGCTAAAGAAAGCATATATTTCTTCTAAATTAACAATCTAGTCCCTTTAAATATTCTTTCACATTTTTAACACTGTTAGTTTTCAAAATCCCATTAACTAGCAGGCCTAAGCATAATATGTTATA